AGTGTGGTGTAAGTATAGTGTTACCAAAAACAAGAATACGACTTCAAAGACGACTGTTCAAATCCAAACAATCTTTTTCCCTGAAACTATCAACTTTTTTCTTTCTCTGCCCAAATCAATAAAAAAGGCCTCGAAAAAAAGTATATTCAAGGAAGAATATTTGAATTGACCTTGGAATTGTCATATTTTAAAATTTGTAGGTCGTATTTACAGTCTCATCTTCTCTGGGTAAGCCTGTATTCTCGTAGTACCAGTAGTAGCCTGTAGTACCTTAGGATTTGGAAAGTATTTCTAAAGTAGTTCGAGGATAGGGGCGGGGTACCTTTGGAATAACAGCCGTTTGAAGAGAGGGAGGGGGTACATTAGGGTGAAAGTAGGGGGAAGAGGGAGGGTAGTACCTGTGGGGGGAAAGTTCCCCAATGCGGATGAAAAATTTCATTAAGATCCTTCGGAATTCCATCATAATGGGTTGCACCTTCAACATTTTCTTTGTGAATAAGAATTTTAAAATGAAAACCCTTCAATTTCAAGTGACCCATCACGTCAGCCGAAATTTTAAGTGTCCGGTTCAAAACTGAACCTGAATATATTTATCTGATATTTTAAACATTTTATGATTTTTTACATAAGTGGCTTCTCTATGATAGTAAGGGTTGGACAATTTGGCACTTTTTTGTTAAAAATGTTTAGATCCTTTCAGCACGTGTCTTAAAAGTTTCTATAATAAAAAAGCAAAACAAAAATTTTAATTCTTTTCTTATTTTTAAATTCATGCTTTTGTAAATAACAAATTACTAGTGCAAGCGAAAATATATTTTTTCAAAATATGTCGATACATGTTTGCCAATACATCCGTCTGGAAATACTGCAAATTCAAAAATGTTAAAATCATAAAAATTGGTTAAATATTAAATAAGTTAAAGGCAAAAACAGAATTTTAGCAATGACTGGGCAATATTCAATGGTTTGAGATGCAACTTTAGACACCCATATCGACATGTTTCGAAAAAATTGAAAAATTGACCTCCCTTGTGATTGTGAATTTTTAAAAGAGCTTGCTTGCACTGACCCATTTTATAAAATATCAAAAAACAAAATTTCATAATGTTTTTTTGGTAAGTTTATTTGAACAATTTTTGCTGGTCATTTTTGAAAAAATTTAATAGAATTTAGAGCTATCACACTTTTAAAATCTGAAACTGAAGAGTGAAGAGTATTATAAACCTAGTGTATGTGTACCTTTAAAGTATCTAAGAAGCCAAATGTTTTGAATTTACGTTTTAAATTTTGCCCCCCGGCCCTCCCCAGAAGCTCGCGGGGGGGGGGGAAATGTTTTTGGCNGTATTCCTTGGTAATCGGACTGTATAGTGTATGTGTACCTTTAAAGTATCCAAGAAGCAAAATGTTTTGATTTTACAGTTCAAATTTTGCTCTTAGGGGGGCCAGAAATGTTTTTGGCGCTTCGCGCATATTTTGCCCTCCCCTAGATTTATTTCTGTAAACGCCCTTGGACTACCAGGGTTAATGATAGTGACTTGCGGAGTACTTTTGAAAAAATGTTAAACAGTTTTCAAAAAATCGATATCTTTAGTATTATTGATCAGATAAATGGGGTTTAATTAAAGTTTAATGTTTTGAATCAGAGTCACTTTTAATTCCTGGAACAGTCCCTTTAAGGTATGAATATGGTATGCATATACTTAATTATACCTTCAGGATATACAAGACCGTAGTTTGAGTCAAGATAAACACCCTCTCGTGGTTTCCAGCTCATTTTAGTCTTTAAAAAAAAATTATAAAATGTTTAAAAAATATGTTTTTTATTTATTGAAGACGTTGATTACATAATTCACAAATAATTGCCTGTGAAGTTGAAAAAAATATTTTTAAAAATCCACAACTTAAAGAGACAATATTTTTAAAAAAAGAAATATTTTAGCTTATAATACCACAAGGAACGTCAGGGTAGTCATGGGTTTAAAAAAAAACAGTCAATTTTGTACAACCGGTCTGCCAGATATAACTAAAACATATATATTAGCGAAAAGCTTTATCATATACTAGCTGAAGTGCCCAGCGTTGCCCGTGGAATTTATTAAAGCCAATTTTAAAGAAAAAAAATCGATTTTAGCCTATGTTACCCCCAGGTTACCCATGGGATTCCTTCAAAAGAATTCAGCCCATTAAGTCCAGCCGTTTGACGAGCTATAGATGACATTTATATATGAGCTAAGAGCTTTATTATGTAGATTGACGACGGCAAGGGATTAAAAACACTTTTAAAACAAAAAATCGTAAGTAAAATTATAAATAAATTTAGAAGTAAATTTAACGTTTATCAAAAAATTTCTAAATATAAAAGAATGAAGATGATTGGGTTTCCTTCGTTTGAAATAAATTTATATAACATAATAATATCAATTAATAGTTTTAATTTTTTAATTTTGTTTAATCTTTAAAATTATAAATTAAAATTTGTATTTCAGAAGTTTGTATTTCAGGATTTTGAATTTCAGGAGTTTTTATTTCAGGAGTTTGTATTTCAGGAGTTTGATTTTCAGGAGTTTGTATTTCAGGAGTTTGTATTTTAGGAGTTTGTATTTCAGGAGTTTGAATTTCAGGAGTTTGCATTTAAAGAGTTTGTATTTTAGGAGTTTATACTTCAGGAGTTTGTATTTCAGGAGTTTGTACTTCAGGAGTTTCTATTTCAGGAGTTAGAATTTCAGGAGTTTGTATTTTAGGAGTATGAATTTCAGGAGTTTGTATTTTAGGAGTTTGTATTTCAGGAGTTTGTATTTTAGGAGTTTGTATTTCAGGAGTTTGTATTTCAGGAGTTTGTATTTCATGAGTTTGAATTTCAGGAGTTTGTACTTCAGGAGTTTGTATTTCAGGAGTTTGTATTTTAGGAGTTTGTATTACAGGAGTTTGTACTTCAGGAGTTTGTATTTTAGGAGTTTGTATTTCAGGAGTTTGAATTTCAAGAGTTTATATTTTAGGAGTTTGTATTGCAGGAGTTTGTACTTCAGGAGTTTGTATTTTAGGAGTTTGTATTTCAGGAGTTTGTATTTCATGAGTTTGTATTTCATGAGTTTGTATTGCAGGAGTTTTTAATTCAAGAGGTTGTTATAGTGCTGTTTTATGAATAGGAAAAGCTGCAATGTAAAATTGAAACTGTGTTGTTTTATACTTACAGAATTTAATTTATACAAAATCTTAAACCATAGTTTAAGAGGATAAAGCAAGATTATCGACATTTTTAGAGTTTCCTTTAACGGAAGCAAGCAGTATAATTTTTCAAAAATTATACAAAATTATTTTAATTAATTCAATTCATAAAAACAATTGCAAACAAAGATTATACACTTATTTTCAATCTGTCATCCTGTTTTTACATCTTCCTTTGTGTAATGGAGGAATTTTCATAACTTCCGGTATTTAAATAAAAAAAACTTAAAAGTGAAAGATATATTTTAACCTTTCAAAATACTTTAAGATATGACTTTGTGCAATGTACACCCAATTTACTCAATGAGATTTACTTTGGTTAAAACTATATTTGATTCATAACTTCAAGCATACATAAAATATCTTAAAGGTCGTCTTCATATTTAGGGAATTCATGGGTCTTACTGTAGAATTCTATGCATAAGACTGCATCTGTAATTTTTTTTTATTGAAAACATGATTAACAAAAAAATATCTAATTGCGAGTCTAGGGATGTCCATCGTTGTTAAAAACGATCAGTAAAACGCTTGTTTTTACTTTTGTTTTTGATTTTTCTGAACTAACTGACATTCGTATTTAGAAAAAAGAATTGTAAAGACTAACGAAGTAGTAGTTTTAAACTTTTGAAAACGAGAAACGAAAGAACAAATACTATAGTTTTAAAGGAAAAACTATCACTTTGTATAGATTTTATTTAACCAAATTGTATCGTTAGAAGCCAGGTTTATGAATGTCGATGTAATTCAAAACGACCGTTTTTCATTTTGAACGAAACGAAATTATCGTTTTACAAAAAGCCTAAAATGCTCATTCCTAATTGTGAATTTGTGACTCAGAAGAAATAAAAGTGTTAACTGATTTTTTTTCTGAAAACAATGAAAATTTTTAATTTGTAAAATATTATATTTTTGGCTTTGACATAGTTTTTTCTTTTTAAGATCTAATGATGATTATCTTTATTCTCCTTTTTAATCATTAAAAGAAAACTACAATCCTTTATTACTTTTCCATTCAATTGATTGATTAAGTGATTAAATAAATAACAAACTTTTTTATTACAATTTTAATTTTATTCTGTTATCCTTTATATAAACACTTGTTGTAAGTGACTCCTCTCCAATTAAAAAAGTATTGCCATGAATCATAATTGTACCAATAAAACTGTTGTATCAGCAACAATGTGGAAGAATATCTTGAATTCTATCAATTTCATCTATGAACTCTGCTACATAAATCTGCGCCGTCACTTTTTTAGAGAAACCGCAATAACAAATTATGAATTTTTAGAGAGAGAAACAAGCATGAATTTCACATTTTTGCTTAAATAAAGGTTTTAACAGTAGGGGTGGGAATCGGGATGTCACTTTACAAATGGAGGGCTACTTTAAATTAAGTCGATAGACCCTTTAAAGGGACTGTTTTAAGTGACTCTCTATTTAAAAGGGGTATATACTCAATTCAAAACGGTACCCTTAGTGATTTTTTTCTTTTCCAGACACAGTTTTTCAGGGTACAATTATAAATCTGAAATATCACTCTGCGTATGAAGGTTCTCTAGAAATTACGTTTAAAGTCCCTTTAAGCTTTGGTTGTGTATACAGTCCCTTAAAGCTTTGGTTGTGGATACAGTCCCTTGAAGCTTTGGTTGTGGATACAGTCCCTTTAAGCTTTGGTGGTGGATACAGTCCCTTTAAGCTTTGGAATTGGATACAGTCCCTTTAAGCTTTGGTTGTGGATACAGTCCCTTTAAGCTTTGGTGGTGGATACAGTCCCTTTAAGCTTTGGAATTGGATACAGTCCCTTTAAGCTTTGGTCCGATCCCTAAGCAAGGAATCTCTTTGCTCAGTGCTTCTCTATATTTCGGATGGGAGATTGCATAAACCAGAGGGTTCAGGCAGGAGGCAGTTTTGGCTGAAATATTGAATGAATTTGGTTAATATTTTGTTCAGTCAATGTCTATTATTTTTGTTTAAAGTTATTCCAAGATATACAATGACTCGCTTGAATGCCCGGCGTTGCATAGGTTTATTATTATTCAAAAGTCCTAGTTAGTCCAACCGTTTTCCCCAGTTTGGTATTACATCATGATTTTAGCTAAAGTGCCCGGCGTTGCCCGTAATATTTGCCTCAACAGGTGAAATTGGGATCTTAAGTTACAGCTTGCTCGCTGTTATATCTGCGTGAGGAGGGGTTTGTGTAACAAGTTAATAACAATTCAGTAAACAATGTTGGTAAAATTCTGGTGAATTTGTCTACAATTTCTCTCAAATTCTGGAGAAAAGTTCTCACAAATTATCTGGAATATTTCTCTTAAACTCTTGCGAAACTAGACACTAAATTAGGTAAACTGTATAATTAAAAATCCATTACATGTAATAACAGGAAGAAAACTTTTATATTTTGTTATGACTTTGTTATTATAATGATATATTCACATGAGCCAAGTCATAATAGTTTATTTTTAAGCTACATCGAATACATCCAAAATGCTGAAATGTCGTCTTCCTACACCACAGTTTATTGGACCATTTTTATTACCATTTCCTCTTTAGACTTACCTAAAAACGATGGTAAGGCTGCCACCATTGGTGTAATCAGATTCATGTTCCCAAAGCATCCGGTCATAACTACAATGGCATAAGGGGACCATATACATATCCATAACATCACGTTAGTAATAGCAACCTAAATAAGAAAACTTATTTAAAAATAATTAATTCCCGTGAAGATGTCTCCATGTTTCAAGTAAATCTAGTTACAATTAAAAACAAATTACATCGCTATAAATAAAATTAGGAACGTCATTTTAAGAAGCTATTAAGAAACCCCGAATTTTCATTTGTATTTTAATCTTTAGGGAAATAAATGGCAAAAAAATGAATGTTCAAAGTAATGAAAGGGATAGCTCTAAATAAATGAGATAAAAATTAACTTACTTGATAAATATATTTAGATTAGATATGGTCACCAGGCCTTTTCAAAAGTTATATTCCAAATTTCAAGTTTAATTCCAATCCCCCCTCCCCTCACACGTGGGGGAAATACTAAAAATTGACCTTCCGACACATTCTTTGAGGAAATTGATTTACATTTGCCTTTTCAATAATAGGTCATTTTTTTAAAGTCAAAATTGGCGAAATTCAAGGGTCTTCTAATAAAAAAATAATAGATTTAGATTAAATAAACGCATAAATAAGTTATTTAATAATGTAAACTGTTCAAATATTGAAAAAATATATTTATTTTTTTAAAAGAATAACATGTCTGATTCACAACAGTACCATTTAAACCTCTTCCTGGTGGACTAAATAATAAGATTTCGTGTTTTTTTATCTTCAAGATTTGCTGAATTCTGTTAATTTCCAATATTCATTATTAAGACAGCAGATATTTTTATACCACAAAGGTGTGCGATGTATATACAGTGAAACCCTTAATAACGAATACATCGGAAGAATTTATCAAATGTCGTCTTGACAATTTTTCAATTAGTTTTATACTATATTACGTAAATTTCAGTATTTGTGAAAATAAATAAATAGACATGAATATGCGGGAACAGTTTTAAAGAGTTCCAAATAATCATTTGATTAAAAAACTAAATATCTGCAACATTCCATTATCAGAAAGTGAAGAATACGACATTTGATGAATTCTTTCGATGTATTCGTTATTAAGGGTTTTACTGTATCTAACTGCAATGTTCCCATTGCATGTTATATAGGCAAGAATACCACAACCTCAAAAACCAAATATTAAAAAAAAAACTCAAAAAGGTTACCCTTAACACAGGTCTCTTATCTGTCTGTCATTACTCCTTTTATTCCTTCCTTCCTTCCTCATCCATAGCATAAAGTGTTTTTTGTTGTTGCAGTTTTATTGGATGTGTGTGGATACAGTCCCTTTAAGCTTTGGTAGTGGATACAGTCCCTTTCAGCTCAGTTTTAAGCTTTGGTCCCTTTAAGCTCAGTTTTAAGCTTTGGTTGTGGATACAACAGATTCTGTATCTCGGGACTTTGCCGCTTCTAAAACAAATTTAAACTAGTTAACAATATTAAATCAGGAGTTTGTTTGATGCAGAATGAATTGTACGAATTGGCAATCTTATAACTTTACCGATTTTAATCCTGCGTACACAATGGGAAACATTTAAATAATCTTTAATAAACAGTCGTATTACTATTTTAAAGTTTTTTTTTAATAAATGGAAAATTTGAAAATTAATTGGAACAATTTTTTTGGTTCTAATTCTATATTGTTTAATTTAAACAAATATTTCCATAGATTAATGACACCGAAAGTGTATTTTCATGTTCCTAAATGTACTTTCAATTACGATCCCATTTAGCATTCGAAATGGATTTATATTGAACCCATTAAAATCACGTTAATAATATGAGAGAACAATTGTGCTGAAAATCCAACCTGCAGCCCCGATCCCTAGGCAAGGAATCTCTTTGCTCAGTGCTTCTCTATATTTCGGATGGGAGATTGCATACACCAGAGGGTTCAGGCAGGAGGCAGTTTTTGCTGAAATATTGAATGAATTTGCATCAAAAGGTGAATAAGTGAAATTGGGATCTTAAGTTACAGCTTGCTCGCTTTTATATCTGCGTGAGGAGGGGTTTGTTAATAACATAGATAAAGATAGATTGCGCATAAGACGATATTTTTCATCTTGAAAGATATAAATGTACAGAGATGTTTTAAAGATATTCCTATTATATAGATTAACTAGGTCGGTTGTGAACATTGGCTGTTCTTAGGTCATTGAGTACTTGTGGTGTACATGAGTTCTGTAGAGAGAAATTTAAGTTAGTTTAGTCCTTCTCATGTCCAACTTCAGTTTTCGTCAACATGATGATATATTGCTCAGTGAAATATTATTGTTCAAAAAGTTCCATTCCCGGAGTTATTTTACGCTCTATTATGAAATCCATTAAAACACCAAAGTACACTTTGACCCCTAGAAGAATATGTGTTCGCGGACTGTACAATTCTGGGTGATTTTGCGTACATAAGCTATCTATGTTTATTTATTTATCTATGGTTAATAACAACTCAGTAAACAATGTTTGTAAAATTCTGGTGAATTTGTCTACAATTTCTCTCAAATTCTGGAGAAAAGTTCTCACAAATTATCTGGAATATTTCTCTTAAACTCTTGCGAAACTAGACACTAAATTAGGTAAACTGTATAATTAAAAATCCATTACATGTAATAACAGGAAGAAAACTTTTATATTTTGTTATGACTTTGTTATTATAATGATATATTCACATGAGCCAAGTCATNCAAATATATTTTTATCTCAGCTGAATCCCCTTGCTGCTCTCCTGATCTAAAAGCAAATATATTTTTATCTCAGCTGAATCCCCTTGCTGCTCTCCTGATCTAAAAGCAAATATATTTTTATCTCAGCTGAATCCCCTTGCTGCTCTCCTGATCTAAAAGCAAATATATTTTGATGAAAATATCGGCCCCAACTTTTGAAAACTTTATTATTTTAAAAAACAAGAAACATTAAACCATTGTTTATAGATGATGAGTTGAGTGTCATATTACAGATGCAATTATTTAAACAAATTAAAGCTTGGGTTGGGATGCATCAAACTCCCAAACTAGACAGAGGGAGAAGGTCAAATTATGCTACATTACTGGTTCAACTTTGGGACTCCTGTTATAGTTTCGATTATGCGCACAAGTATTGAGAAAGCAAAGGAATTTGTTCACAAACTCTGATTATCTGAACCCTATATATTTGCATTTCAATGTCGGAGACCTTAGATATTTCAAACTATGAATTATTTTAGATCAAATAATGATAGTTTGAAATATCAAAGGTTAACATAATCAGGTTGCAAAGATAAAGCGATTTGTAAATCAGAATTTGTGGTTAAAACTCAGTTCCTTTATCCAATTATTTATTAGAGCTTTTTGGTTTAGCTCAATAAAGCTTTAATAAGATCGAAGCATGAATAAAAACGTTCAATATTTCAATTATGCGTGCAATTTGCTTTAGTTTAATGTGATCATCCTGAGGTTGAAATTTTGAGTGATATAGCGCTAATCCACAACGCTCTAAATTCACAATGGCAACTTTAAAATATGAGGGATAATTTCCTTTTATTCACAGTTATTGAGTTCGGTTCAGATTAATTTTCAATAACCCTATAATCTCGATCCCGTAGTCATGTACCTCCAAATCTACACAAAACCAAAAGGTCACCTTTTTATAAGTACAACTTTATAGCCTCATAGCTCCTTTGGTTTTAATTGTACGCTTTTCTTTTCTCAATAGCCCGTCATAAAGAGGAGTTAGGATTGAAAATGATTAATATTAAAAATTTCCTTGTTTGACTATCTTTACCTCAGGGAGTCAACATTCATCTTTTTAGCTTGAGCTTTCAAGGCAGATTCATGCTTAACCACTGCCTTAACAATCTAAACAGCAAAACTAGTAATTACACTTTTTTTTATTAGAAAGATTAATCCAGACCTGAGTGTAGAATGAAATAACCATAATCATTGGTACACAGTAGTTGAATATAAAGGCATACAGCATGAAGCTTCTATGATTCCAATCCTAAAACATCAAGATTATAATTTCAACTCATATTGTAGTTTTTCTATTATTTCTATTATTTCTATTACTTCTATTATTTCTATTTCTAGTAAAAATCATGAACAATGCCTTTAAAGGGAGAGACCGACTTGACATGGCAATTGAGCTGAAAGTGCAGTATTGTAGATCAAATAATTTAGGCTTTTTTTGATGCCAATGAGACAATTTTACGGTTTGCAATTTTTGAACAAGAGCGTAAAGTCGTATTGTAACATTTCACCAGTTGGGTCAGTCAGCAGAAGTAATGTTTTTACTATTCTTAAAAAAGCATTGACAAAACATGTAAGTAGCAAATACTATTCTACAAACTAGTTGCATATATACAAAAAGGTTGAAAACAATAATGACCTGAAATCATTGAAAATAAGTTCTTTAAATTCATTTTTAAAATCTCGCAGGTTTATTCAAATTATTTTTTAAGAAACTTGGGAAAACAATTATAAAAACAGCAAAGGAAAGAATGATAATTTGAAATAATCGATTCTGCGGTTCTAATATATGGATGTCATCGATAATGTGGAAGACGATACCCAGCCTCCTCGATCCAGGAACAAAGGGAGAAAGAAGAGTGAACGAGACAGGGCAAGTGTCTGATTTTTCCCGGTTTTACAAAGCAACCAACTCTCCATTCTTTTTGTATCTTTATGCTTAAATATATACTTGAAAAGTGATTCCTCGTTTTAATAGAGACCGACCTTGCGTCCTCTAGAATAATTTCTTTTAAAAATAAGTTCCTACACAGTCAACTAGTCTATATAATAAATTGTTTACATGTTTTGTCTGGGTTATCTAATAAAAAAAAACTTTTCTCCTATTGACTGATAGTACTGGTGAAATATTACAAACGACTTTACGCTCTTATTTGAAAATTATTCACCGTAAAATTGTTGTCCTAAAGTTGTTTTATTCAATTCTGCACTTTAAGCACAACTACCATGCCCAGTCGGTCTCTCCCATTAACTATAATACCTGAGTAAGATAATCATAGCTGCAGGTTATTAATGTTCCTTCTGCAGCATACCCACCCCAGCCAAAGAACGGTGGAACACACACTGCAGTACTGTACAACCATAAGCACAGGATTATCCCGACAGCCTAGACCCAGTTTTAAATGACAATCTAAACTCTAGATCATTTTAAGTAGCAGGCCATCCTACTTTCTATACATAAATAATTCTGTTCACTGTTAACTGTTAACTCCTCCTTTTGAATTGGATAATTGAATTTGAATAGAGAGATGGCGAGATCACTTAATAGGCACCATAATGCATCACTTTGACCTATTGGATTGGATGATACGGGACAATTACAAAAAGGATGGCGAATGCCAAACTCTAGACAGCTTGAGAAATTTGTACAGTACATATCTACAGTGATAAAGATGGCAGGCGCACATAATAATCTCAGCGCTGACTTTTCCGTATTGCTGTATGCTTGTTGCTCGCTGTTTTAGTGTGATATATGTACTGTATGTTTATTATATATTTATGAATATACCTACCTTGGTGGGAGTAATCTTTACTCCACTAAATCCCTTGCAAATAACGTTGTATCTATCGTATCCAATGACCACCATGGAAAGGATGGAGATAGTTCCAAAAACTCCGCCAGTCAAAGCATACACTTTGCATCCTGCATTAACAAAATCATTTGCCAATCAGTACAGAGTACACTGGTAATCAGAAAACGGAGGAAAATTGGTAATTTTTTATTCTTAATTTTAAAATTTAAAAGAGTGAAAAAAGACAAAAATTCTATATTCTGGATATCACTCAGTTATTATCATTTTACTCATCATAATTATTTTTGTTGTTGATATTATTATTATTATTGTTATAAATTTATAGTTATAATTGCTAGTTATAATTGTTACAATTAATTATTATATTTAAAACTGTTACAATTGTTTTGATTAATTATTATAGTTATAATTGTTATATTTGTTATAATTAAATATTATACAGTGAAACCCTTAATAACGAATACATAGAAAGAATTCATCAAATGTCGTATTCTTCACTTTCTGATAATGGAATGTTGCAGATATTTAGTTTTTTAATTAAATGATTACATGGAACTCTTTAAAACTGTTCCCGCATATTCATGGCTATTTATTTATTTTCGCAAATACTGAAATTTACGTAATATAGTATAAAACTCGTTGAAAAATTGTCAAGACGACATTTGATAAATTCTTCCGATGTATTCGTTATTACGGGTTTCACTGTAGTTAAATGACTGTTATAATTTTTATGATTGATTATTATAGTTATGTCTGTTATAATCTTTATAATTGATTATATTCATATAATTCGGGTTCTTTTTTCATAAAAAATAGAAAGCTTACCTATTTCTCCAAACATCCAGTATCGTTGAACAAAAGCATTAAATGTTACAGGTGGACCCTTTCATCGACAAATCATCAAATAAACAACATAATGCAAACTTTTTGCCAGCATCATGCCAACTTTGTGTACAAATTGTGCCAAATGTTGCCAACATAATGAAACTTTGTGCCCGTATTATGCCAACTTTGTACCAAATTTGTGCCAACATAATGATAACTTTGTGCCAACTATGTGCCAACATGGTGCCAACATGGTGCCAACATGGTGCCAACATGGTGCCAACATGGTGCCAACATGGTGCCAACATGGTGCCAACATGGTGCCAACATGGTGCCAACATGGTGCCAACATGGTGCCAACATTGTGCCAAGATGGTACCAACATGGTTCCAACATGGTGCCAATATGGTGCCAACATGGTGCCAACATGGTGCCAACATGGTGCAAACAAGTTGCCAACATTTTACCAAAATCATGACAATTAGATGAGAATAATATGCAATGTTGTGCCAACAAATCTGATGGCAACGTTGCTTTTATTTAAAGATTATGCTGTCACACTTTGTCATGCAATATTAGAAGCTTTGCCCATAGATAAAGATAGATTGCGCATAAGACGACATTTTTCATCTTGAAAGATATAAATGTGCAGAGATGTTTTAAAGATATTCCTATTATATAGATTAACTAGTTCGGTTTTTTACATTGGCTGTTCTTATGTCATTGAGTACTTGTGGTGTACATGAGTTCTGTAGAGAGAAATTTAAGTTAGTTTAGTCCTTCTCATGTCCTTCTTCAGTTCTCGTCAATATGATATATTGCTCAGTGAAATAAAATTCACTCCTGAGTGGTTTAATAATTATGAAATCCATTAAAACACCAAACCACCCCGATTATCATTGAAGTACACTTTGACCCCTAGAAGTATGAGTTCGTGGACTGTACAATTCTTGGTGATTTTGCGTACATAAGCTATCTATGTTTATTTATTTATCTATGGCTTTGCCTCAGTCCAGGTTGGTCTATTTCTGTCTGATATATAGAGAAAAGGTAAAACTTCCTTATCTAAAAAAGATCTGTTACCGAACTAAAAATTTCAAAATTAAAATTTCAGTAATAATAATTATAAAATAAACTATTTTATTGGAATTCAAGACCAACGTCTTTAATTAGATGGTTGTGATTAGTAAATGAGTTAAAATTACGTTGAAACTTACTTAGAAATGATAAAACAGAAGGGTTCTCCAACTATGAGAATGAGAAATTTCATAAAGGTGGTTTTTTTAAAAACAGACACTTTCTTATTATTAACAATTTGTTTCAATCTAAAATGAAATCTAATTAGCCTTTAAAAGTCCAAAACGATAATTTCTTCACTTGTTTTTAAAACAATACCCGTCCTATCAGACCTTATGTAAGGACGTATTATATTGATGCTTTCCTGAGTCGTCATCATGCATAGATCTGATACTGCCAGATTTACGATAAACATGTTTGTAGGAGTTCTCAAGCTTTTGGTCTAAACATCAATAAAACAATTAAATACTTAGATAAAACTTTGCAAACTTCTCCCTTTCTACTTAATTTGCTATGTGTTTAAAGCACATGTTAGGCCTTTAGGATCTAATTTTTGACCAAAAATAGTTTTGGATTTCGTAGATTTTCCTGCTGTCATTGGAGGATTTCCCAAAGAAATCAATCTACTACAATTCATTGAAATGATTTATGATGTTATCTAAAATGAAAAATTACAGAAAAGAGTTACCTTCATAAAAATGTAGATCACACAACCATTGCCAAACAGACAAATAGTCCACAAGACTATATAGGCCAATCCGACAACATGATTTTGAAAACTAATTATGCTCATGTATACTTCAGGAAAACATAAAGAAATTATCAGGATTAAACACTTTAAAACATAGTGCCAAGGCACTAGAAATTACGATTACAGTCCCTTTAATCAGAATTTATTATTTTGTAATATTGATTCAAAGGAATTGAGTCTTTGTCACAAACTCTGATTTTCTAATTCCTATATCTTTGCAACCCAATGTCGTACAGCTTAGATATTTACAAGGTAAGGTAAGGACATGAAAAAAAAGTTTAAGTCAGAATAACGTAAACTAGATTCTTTAATTCACAATGAACTCAGTTTCGGTGGCTGTACGAATGTAAAGTGGTTGTTTGTCAACAAAACTGGACTTGAACTGAAATATAAAATTGAACCCAGTATTTAAAGATAGGGAATACATGGAAAAATAAACATACCAAAAAGGAAAAGTATATTAAATAGAGCTCCCCCCCCCCCTCAAACTGTCCTCTTTGCCTGGCCTGTGTTCTCATGTCGAAACTGTAGATATTGTTTCGACAGTAGCCTGATTGAAATGTTTGTAAACAGACTGCCAAACCAGCTTTTAGCCACCGAATTCTTTTTTGAACAGTAGATAAATCTTATGGCCCACTCTTGAATATTTCAAACTATGATTTTTGTTAGATTAAATTATCTAAGTTTTATACTATCAGGTTGTAAAGATATAGGATTAGAAAATGTTAGTTTGTGGCAAAAACTCGACTCCTCTACTTACACATTTTTCCTTCTACAAACTTTAATTGATTGGAAAACACCAAATAAAAAAAGTTTTAAATGGCTTTTAGCAATTTACTCTTTATTTGAAAGTGTTTTCGAGATCTACCGAAATTCAGAGGCAAAGGTGCTCGTTAGATTGAGGACATTTTTGTCAAAATTATATAGAGAAATATATATAGAAATATATATAAAAATATATATAGAAATATATATAGAAATAAACAATAAATTTCGTTTTCATAGTGATTTACAAACTCGTCTTGGTAGGTTGCTCCCCATGCGTTAAGTACAGGGTGTCCCACGAAATATGACAGTTAATAAACAGTTTTAAATGTCTTCTTCTATATGCTGTACTAGATATTAAGGTTTTTTTTGCAGTTTATTTCGTTAAACAATTATTTAACTCAAAAATATTTTACTTAATTAATTTTATAAGAACAGGACTGCCATATAATATTTTACATTATACTTTTTTTAGTCTCATACAACTTAACAAATTTTAGAAGAAGACATTTTAAACTATTCACCAATTGTCATGTTTATTGAGACACCCTGTATTTTTTGGGCTTCTGTCTCAGGGTTATTGTGAAAGAACAAACACTAAATCTTGAAAGAGAATAGATTTGTACACTCAGTACAGCTGTATTCTTACATCACAAGTGTCAACTTCGTTTTTGTGTCCGACAAAAATATTAATAAAAATGATAATTTTAGAGTAAAGAGCTTATCTTACAGTGAAAAAGGTACAGTCTTACGTCTTATTTATTTTCTGTTTTACACTTTTTTATTTAATCTTGAAAAACATGTCAAATAATTTGAGAAAATTTCGTTTCCTTTGTTATATTTGACACTTGTGACGTCGTGTATAATTAATCAATTTCTCTATTGCCACCTATTGTACTTGATAATCTATTTGCTTGAAAGTATCTAGTGATCTATCTGTTAAATTGTTATTATTATAGTATGTCCAAAGCAAACAGCTCAGATGTCAGAACTTTTGAAATGTAAATCTGAGGATCAAACATTGATTTTTATCTTGTATACCAAGATCAAGTGTTCAATATTAACAAAACTCTACACAAAACTCGTTCAACCTTCGATCTCTTTGGTAATTAACTTTCATTCATAAAAATTAAAAGAAATAATTTTGTTTAACCTTCAGGGTAGACAAGGCCGTAGTTAGTGTCAAGGTAAACTCCTTCTTGGGGCTTCCAGCTCATTTTTAATCCGACCTATGCAATTAAAACGACTTTAATCTGACCTACGCAATGAAAACTACTTTAATCCGACCTATACATTGAAACCCCATTTTAATCCGACATACACATTAATATACAATTTTAATCAGATTTACGCATTAAATTACAATTTTGATCAGATTTATGCATTAAAATACAATTTCAATCAGATTTAAGCATTAAATTACAATTTTAATCAGAGTTGCGCAATTTTGATCAGATAAACATTAAAACGACTTTGTCAATCCAATAGGGTGTGCATTTGTTCGTTGCCTATACAAGGTTTTCCTGAGTTCCACAATAAAAATTTGAGGCAAAATGGTTTTGTTATTAAATAAGTTCTTGGTCTTGGGATTTAATAAGTTCTGATTTGACATCCAAACAGACAAACAAAACTAAATTACTACTTTATATATTAAGATTGTATCAATTATGCTTAACAAAATAATAATTGCTTTGTGTCCCAGCTTGAATTTCAAAATCAATACTTAATAAGGGATGACATTTTTGCAATTTTTTGTTATAAATTAGTGGCTGGATTTCAAAGATCATTTTTTAAGGCAACTTCTAAAATAAAAAATAGAGCTGCCAATGGAATCATGTGATGCTAGTTGGCCTGATCAGTTTAGCCGTTTAAAGGTTTTAATTATATAAGTAATCCTATGAACTGGGCTGATAACTTTAGAATGAGATATCCTTAATCCCGATTACTTTATCCAATGGACACACAAATGGCGCGCAAAATTTCAAATTTACGCGACTCTGATTGGTTGAATTTTATACACTTTTCAAGATACAGATACAAGATTAGGTTAGTCTCGATATTAAGAAAATGAGAGGACCAAGCATTAATCTCAATATCCACCATTCTAAAGTTTTCAGCTCTGGGCAAATGTATGTAAATATATTATATAGATTGGAAAATCTCCGTACTTGTGAATGTAGTACTTGAAACTGCGGTGTAAGTACTTGATTTCAGATGTTTTATACGGTCGGATTATCTGATTTCTTCAACAGATTTTGGGATTATAGATTTTTTTGTGTTTCTCGATCCAATGATATCTTATCAAAGAGAATAGAATATATATTAGAGCGGAATTTAGACAATCCCTCGGTATGAATTTTGTCAGTCCCTTTCAGCCTGAAAGGGAGTTCAAAGTCTACAAATCATGTAAATGTTCACAAATTATATGCAGTAGAGTACATTAATACAGTATGTTCCCTAGACTATCCATTTCAATTTCAAATTTTTTAAAGCTGTTAAATAAACTTTATAAAATGAATTTGATTTATAGTTATAACGGAAAATCATCGTTTGTAAAGTGAAAGGCATAGAGTCTATGTGAAATGAAATTATGAAGCCAGCCTACTTCATAATTTGGTTTTTTTTAAAATATGAATTTTAGATTTTCTATAAAATGATGAACCAGGGCCCAAAAGGTTATGCAGCGCAAATTTGTGAAGTACAGCTCTGCAGTATGGAAACAGTACTGTAACAGTGGGCGAGTTTTGTTGATCTTTTACGATCAGCAATTCAAGGATTTTTTGGATCGCTGAGATCATAGCTACCAAGGGGAATCATGCCCCCTGAGAAACTCAGTGCATTGCTTTATTGATTTTTATTCATATACAATAGTACAACAAAATGGCCGTTTTACAATTTTTTCTAGTAAACTCCACTCTAATATATATTCTATTCTCTTTGTTCTTATTCTATATTTTCATAAATCCGATTTTTTTATATCTATTTATATAAAGTTAAAATGTCTGTTTGTTTGTCTGTATGTGTATAATCATAACTTATGAACCCTGGATCGATTTGTCTCAACTTTTGATTGGGAAACTCGGGAGAACCACTGGAATGTTCTTAGCTTGATTTTGAGATTCTACATAAATTGAGTGGGTTGTCTTTTAAAACGAAAATTTAGTTTCTCGGTAAAATCTACCAAGTGTGGGTAAACGGCGTGATTACTACGAGAAACCTTGACAGCACCGGGTTCCAATGCTAGTTTATAAATGGGGTGATGAGTCAGATGCCCCATTAATACGAACCATTTTTATTTCAATCACATTTGCTTCTAGAATTCATAATATACAATTTCAAATTAATTGAATAAAGAAAATTGATAATTTCACATTTCATCATAAATCATGATAAAAGAAAAACTATTCTTATTTGATGACTGCTCCGAAAGAAGACCTCCCTTAAACAAAGTTGATTTAAGTTCTTTTTTTTGTAAAAAGGATTTACATAGATATGTTTGCGATATAGTATATTATAGGATATGTATGGCTTACTTCCCAATTTTTGTGATATTGTATTTGCTAGGGAATGCAATAAAAATTCAATATCTGTGAGATTATCCCACTGTACTACTGTTCTACTACCACTATGAAGGAAACTATGAAGCACTTTTTCGATGAAAACGAAAAAATCCATCTGTCACCAATTATTAAAAAAAAATTATACGTCTGTGTTTTTTTTAAATGAGATTTTCTCCATTCAGAGATTTTTTCTCCCAACTCCCATTCAGACTTTTTTGTCACGCAGGGCAGTATTTTGCAAATATCAGGGCAGTATTTTGCAAATATCAAGGCAGTATTTTGCAAATATCAGGGCAGTATTTTGCAAATATCTGGGCAGTATTTTGCAAATATCAAGGCAGTATTTTGCAAATATCAGGCCAGTATTTTGCAAATATCAAGGCAGTATTTTGCAAATATCAGGGCAGTATTTTGCTAATATCAAGGCAGTATTTTGCAAATATCAGGCCAGTATTTTGCAAATATCAAGGCAGTATTTTGCAAATATTAAGACAGCATTTTGCAAATATCTGGGCAGTATTTTGCAAATATTAAGGCAGTATTTTGCAAATATCAGGGCAGTATTTTGCAAATATCAGGGCAGTATTTTGCAAATATCAAGGCAGTATTTTGCAAATATTAGGGCAGTATTTTGCAAATATCAAGGCAGTATTTTGCAAATAACTCCTAATAAACATAAGTTAAAAGCAGGCACGTTGCAGTCTGTTAAAGCCTAGG